TGTGGCATCCTTTTTGCAACGAGCTAAAGAGTGATTTTTTTCATAGAGTATTTGGCTACATGCATGAAGTTTTGTTTATTGTGTTCCTTTGTTTTCATGACAAATTTCTAGCACTCTAAGCTCGCAATTCTGGCACTGACATAGTGACATCTCTGCCAAGACACATATCATTCATTTTGAGCAATATTGCATATTGAATGGTGTTGTCAAGGATAATCACAAGTTCCACAACTTCTCATGATCATTCACTAGCCAAGCAACAGCATGAGTAGGCATGCTCTTAGACGCAGACATGGCTAACTACTCCATATTCAAAGCATCTTTCTGGGGTCACTTTGATTAGTAGCGATTGGCGAATTGCTTACTCATAGATTTGTTTGCAGGAGTTTGTTTAGCGGAAGGTTATCACAAATGAACCTCATGGCATCATTGCATTCATCTCTAGCGTCAAGGGAAATTTCCAAAGCAAGATGCTTAAGCAAGAGTTTTAGATATGTCATGAGGCATTTGCTGTAGTAGAGCCTTTGGAACTGGATCCTCTCTAAGAGCTCAAGATTTCTAAAGTAGAGGAGGCATTCCTCCCACCCTCAGATGAGAGCTTATGTGTTGCTGTGGTTTGTTCTTCTCTAGCCCTGCACAAGAATGACTTGGTAATCGAGAAGGCATTGTCAAAACTTGCAAGATACAAGGAGATCATCTAATAGTAGCAATAAATGCAGGAGAAGCTACTTAAGGAGTGTAGAGCATGCCACTTACAACAAGTAGAAAGACTAAGACACCCTTCTCATTTTTGGTATTGCTTGCATTGCAATGTTACAACGTATAGCATAAAGAGATGTTGGAAGCTTCACCTAGAACTTCAGCCATTTAGCATGTTTAGCAACAGCCTTTAGCAGGCAATACATCTCTTCCATGGCCAACAAATAGATACTAGCAACAACTAAAGCAAAAAGTGATTGAAGACACCCCTTCTTCGAGTTGTGGGAAGACACCAATGCATGTAAGCATAGTTTACATTGTAGAGGACAGTTATAAAATGGTTGCGGTGACTAAGGGGCACAAGAAAGTTTCTTCACCAGCCCTAGATATTGAAGGATCTAGCTCCAATTTCCAAAACTTCACCATCTCTTATAACATGCAAATTACCCCATGCTTCGGTATTTGCAGCACTACCCACATCCTTGGCCACAACTTTGGATCCAACAATTGAAAATTCATTTGACTTTTTGGGTGGGGTCTCCTAGCTGCCCTTCACTCTTTATCAGGTCCTACAGAAGGTTCTTGCTTAGATTGCTAGCACTCCAATCCAATTGCGATGCATACTTGGTTTTCCTTCTTAGATGGAGGATTTTGCCAAGTCCTCAGGTATCCCCATGTAACCTTAGCATAACATACATATTGTCAACACTCAGACCACTCAAGATCCCGGAGCATTCTTTGCAGAGGTCCAGATTGGTGATAAATCCTTGACAACACAAGCATTACTTGATTCTGGATCCTAGAGCAACATCATTTCCCTTGACTTGGCACACTCTAGTGGTTTGGAAGTGGCTGTTAACACAACTATCATCCTCAAAACATTTGCAATCACTCAACAGTCCTAGCGGGCATTTGCCAGAATGTTAAGATCTCAGTGTAAGGAGTGGTTTCCATGCTGGATTTCCTTGTTATGGACTTCTAATAGCTAGTATCTAGGAAGTTGAAGGACTCCATCCTGGGATGTCTGTGGCATCTTGCTACTACTTGCACAACAACTTTGGCCAAAGGAGAATTAATGATCACCGATGGTGTCTATGCAAAAACTCTTTTCAATGCCCATAGTCTTTCTATACTTCTATCCAACTTGTCTCAAGTGGATGCTTCTTCCATCACTGAAGTTGACCAAGCTCTCAAGGTTCTTTTCCCGAAACTTATCGAGGATGACACACTGCCAGAGATCCAAGTTGTTGAGTGCAATATGATTGACTTCTTCAACATGGATTGGACTACGTCAACACTTGAATTCTCTACCATCACTACAAAATTTTAGAGATCCTTGTGCTTCAATAAATCTGGGGATTTCACATTGATTCCTTCATTGTAGCACAGTGAGGAATTTGTCCAAGTGGTGGATTTTCCAGGCACTTTTCCAACTCCAGGACCATTTGAGAAGTCACAAGGGACTCATACCGAGGATCTCTCAACACCAACACAGAGTTTGGATGCATTGCATTTGAGCTTGGACATCAACAACCACAAGATATGAGTTTGTGACACATTTGTTGTTGTGGGGGATCCAGAAGCAATTCTTGCAGATGAAGTTGATGAGTGGTGGCTATTGGGATTGAAAAACCACTATTTGACCACTTTCTTCTAGAGAAGCAACTATCTTCAATTGCCTCTAGCAAATGCCTAGGAGTGGTATTTGCTGTAGTCATGAAGTTTTTGACTTGTTCTCATAGGGTGGAGCTTACATGTGAAGCTTATATCCACCCCTAAGTTTCTTATTGCATATTAACTCTACCTTTATAGGGAATTCCCCAATATGCATGTACTTTACCATGCAATCTTGGAAGCTTGGCAACCACATTGAGATGGAGTAGTTTCATGTGGTACATGGCAGCTTTGGAGCTGTCAATGAAACCAACATACAAGGCATCAACAACACTTTGGAGAGCATGACTTCTTCAGTCTCTTTGAGTACACTTTTGACTCTCTAGCTTAATGACTACTCTCGTGGTGGTACTTCTCACTCTAGAGCTGCAATCTAGCCTTGCTACTTGCTTGGGATACAACCATGACATAAAGGTGGTGGGCATTTTCCAGTAGCATTTCGACTTTTCCTTGGAGATTCTCCCAACTTGACACCTCGTTTCAGCTCTTCCCAGACTCAGGTTCATGGCTAGGTCATGATTTCATCTTGCTACAACACTCAAGGCATTTTTTGACATTGTTGACACTTCATCTGGCCACCAGATCTTCATCAACAACACATGACAATTTCTTCAGCTCTCTAGAGACAATTTCTACCATCTTGAGGAGGCTTCCATCCTTCCAGGCAATGCTAGCATCCTAGATTCTCTTACAGTGACACTATTTGCCACCTCAGGCATTCTTAAGGTGATCTAACACTTCAGGGCGATTCAGCCAATTTCAGCAACATTCCAGGCCTTCTACAGGATGCCTTGTGTCCTCCTGGAATGCTTCCATCATCATCACTTTCATAGAAGCCACTTTCACTATTTGCTCTTTTGGTAGTGAGATCTTTCCATCTTTACTTATTTTTCTTGGTTTTTCTAATTTTTCTTTGTTTTGAGGGTTGACATGCCTAGAAGAATGATTAAACATCTCAATTTTAGGGTTTTTGCAATGTGTTCTTGGCAAGTTGTGATCAGCATCGGGGCCACGATTGCCACGATCATTGCAGGCTACAGCATGCTTCATCTTAAGAGTGTTTTGAAGAATGTGGAAGTGAAAGAAACTCTTTCTACTGGAGGGAAGTCACTGGGCACTTCTATCGACATGCAAGGAGCTGCATGGGATGGGCTGGCATGCATCGGGGTTGGACTTGCTATCAGTCTTGGAGCTGTTGCCATCGCGCTGGGCTATGGACTGGGGAAGAAATGCTTGCCTTCTTAGTTGCTGCCAATCATACCAAAATAAGTTGCTTTCATCATTTAATTTGAGGCTATTTTTTAGTATGGTTTAACTTAATTTAATCATCGTGTTCTAATTGATTTATAGTACTTGTAAATATTCATTAAGTATGAAAAAATTACAGTTAAGAACTTGTGAGAGAAATCTAATGTCTCACAAGTTTTCCAAAGAGGAAATCCACTTACATGCTTTACTTGTTTTTATCTTTCATGAGATATCTAAACTTCTTATGTACTTCGGCAAGATTAGGATCCTTGATAAACTCAAGCATAACTAACATAAATGCAGCCTATATAGCATCAAGCTTGTCTTGGCACCTGCAGTAAAACTAAGATGTTGAAAAATATATTCAACAATTCAACTTAATTATCAAAGTTATAAGATAAAGAAAAACCTTTATCCCCTTTCACTCTTAAATGCAAAGCACTTAATGCAACATGCTCTCCATTAGTCCACTACTTTAACATGCTCATTGTGGCCATACCATGGCATGCAATGATGGCAATGCCAAGGTGAAAGTGTCCATCCTTCACAACCAGATAGAAAAGCCAATAAGAACTCAAGTAACTTTAACACACATACAAGATCCTAGTTGAGTGGAGCACAAAATTTTGCAAGACTGGATAAAATGACACAAAAGAATGCTAGATCATTAATTCAAACAAAATATGCTGTTACCATGCTACCACGCGAGAGTTCGAATCTCAGGCATTTGCGCTTCCTAAAAAAGATTAAAAATTCTCTGCCCTTTTTCTTGTCGTTTAGCTTGTCCACGTCATCACGCTCCTCCCGCGTGGGAACAACAGATGATTCTGGGTATATATGCTGTGATTAAACATCTCAGGCTTAGGGTTTTCGCAATGTCTGTCCCGCAGGTTGTGATCAGCATCGGCGCCACGGCCGTTGCGGGCTACGGCATGTTCAAATTGGGCGGAGCGCTTGATCCCAAGGGCGCTGCGAAGAATCTCCAAGTGAAAGAAGCTCTGTCTGCTGGAGGGAAGTCACTGGGCGGTTCTGTCGGAGATGGGCTGGCATGCATCGGCGTTGGAATTGCCCTTGGTCTTGGAGCTGTTGCCATCGCGCTGGGCTATGGGCTGGGGAAGAAATGAGCTCTTCTTCCTCCCCTCCTCCCTCTTCCTCAAGCTCTTTCTCTTCCAGTGATGGAAGCAACGTTGACACAGAGCTTTAGGGTTTTCCTTTCTCACTCCGATCTTCCAGGCTCCTCATGTTTTGATTCCTCCTGGGTGGAGCTCTTCTTGTAAAGAAATCGATTTTTGTTTCCGTTTCCCAAGCTTCTGTCTGGGAGCAAGCTGTTTGGAGTCGAATCGGGCTCACATTTTCTCTTGCAGGAGCAAGCTTTCCACTTTGCCAAAGATCAAACATTTGCTTTGAGAAAAAATCTCGCTAACATTTGCTTTGCTCTTCGACGAAAGCTATCGCGACAAAGCACACCAGAGCTCTTGGACAAGCCTACTGCCAAATGTTTGCCTGGAGAATCTGTCCCGGACGTGCGACCGCGCAGAGCTTCCCATGGACTTGGCGAGGTTTGGATCCTTGACAAACTCGAGCATAGCCGACGCGAACGCCGCAGGCTTTGGGTCGCACAGGAAGCCAGTCTTGGCGTGCAGCACGCTCTCCATTGGTCCGCCGCTGCGACATGCTATCACTGGTTTTCCTGCGGCCATGGCCTCCAACGGGACAATGCCGAAGTGTTCATCCTTCACAGACACAGAGAAAAGCTGATAAAAAACTCCAAGAGAAAGCAAAAGCTCGGCTTACCGACGGTGTGTAGATGACACACACGCAAGATCCCAGGAGTTCGTCCCTTGTTTGAGTGGAGCACGAGGGAAGAAAGAGGACGTGCTCGCTTATCCCGAGTTTGCGAGCGAGATCTTGCAAGTCGTCCAGAACTTCACAATTCTCTGTGACGCGTCTATCAAATCCTCCTGGATAAAACGACACTGTTAAGTAAAAGAGAAGGATGTGCAGTTTCGCTATACCAGCCAAGACAAGCTTCACCTGAGTGTTCTCGATCTGGCTCAACACAATGTCAAAAGCAGAGACTGCCAAAGACACATTCTTCTTTCTCTCGAACCGGTTGATGGAAAGGAAAAAAGGCCTGCAGCAAGACCAAGTTATTTCTAGAATCTAGAAAACAAAAGTCTTACGTTTCAGCGGGAAGTCCATCCACGTTTGCTTTCTCTGGCAGCGAAGCAAACTGTTCGACATCGACCGCCGGGTATAGAACTGACGGCCGCAAGCCTCGAGCGTGGAGCTTTCGAAATGTCCGTGCGAAGGTTGACGCAGTGAAATTACTGTTCACTAGGATCCGATCGGCCATTCCTGTATGGATACGTGTTTTCCAAAAGCCACAAGCTCAGAGCGAAGAAGACACGACTTTATACCAGTTGTTGTTTCTTCGAGCCAATCAATGGGCTTCCTGTACAATCTCTTGATTGTCGTCGTGTGTGGAGCCAGCAGCAAATCGGGAAAGTGGCAGTAAAAGACTATCTGTTGAGAAACTGGATAGAGGTCAGCGCAAAGGATTTTCTAGCACAGAATTTACCTTTGATCTCTTGATCTTGAGTATAGGAATCACTGCCGAGACTTGATCGACGAGGACGACGTCAAACTTTGGCCAGAACAAAACCATGCACACCGCAACAAAGACGCAGCGAATGTACGCACAGATCGCGTGGAGCTTGTTCCAGACGTTCCTTGGCAGAAAATCTCCATAGACTGTCACTGGAAAGCTCCCTTGAAAGAAAAGAAAAGAAATTCGTGGAGCGACCTTGGAGAAAAAAGCGAAGCTTTCGTCCTTACCATTCACAGTCTCCTCGAAACAGCGCCGGGGATCGTGATGCGCCGTGAAAACGCGGACGTCGTGACCGTTGTTCTTGAGCTCCAGCGCCGCGTCGACGATCAGCCGCTCTGCTCCCCCTGAAAGCACACGCGAATTCACGCAATTCGGGCGAGCCGCTCGCAAATCGCTGGAATTTCTCACCGATTCCTAGATCGGGATGGCAGATCGCCACGCTGAGCTTGCGCTTCCCCTCCATTCCCCTGCTCTGCTAAAACCCTAGAGCCCCGAGAATATCTTGAGAATATGCTAAAGCGTGAATATGCGCGAAGATCCTTTCAGTACGGAATTGTGTACGATTAGCATTTGCTGGATACAGCTGTCATGTATGCCATGCATGGCCATGCAAAGGCTTAGGGTTTAAGGGGGTTTTAGGGCATAGCGCTTTGTTTTTGGCATGGCATGGGCATTGGACGTGGCACCATGGATTAACTCCGCCTTACGGACGCGAGCCATTGGCTTCCAATTTGCTTGAGCCAGACAGGAAGAACAAGGGAAGAGCTTTGTTCTGTGCGTGAGAGCTGGGCGCGTGGATTCCTCGTTTCTCGCGCTCGATCGTCGCCATCGCCCGGGGTCTTTGCTTCGATTGCTGGAGGAGGATCGCGGCGGAGGCGCTGGCTAGAGCTGCATTCATCCCATGCCGCGAACGAGGGGGAGAATCGGCGGGAGTAGGGTTTGCTGACCGCGAGGTATGAGCAGCGCTGGAAGAAGAAGCTCTAGGTAGCAGCATGGGATTATGATGGATCCCCAGGCATTCGTCAAGGTCTCGATCGCGGCCCTAGGGCTGCGAATCCCGATCGCCTCCAAAGCAGCTCGCGTCGGCGTACATGCCTCCTCCATTCCCTGCTACTGCGAGATCAGCTTGCCGGGATTTCCTGTCCAGACGGCGCCAGTGCCGCTCATCACCGCAACAGCGCCAGAGCCGGATTCCAGGAATGTGGCGGCGGTGTTCTACTTGGATCACTCCAGCTTGAGGAAGCTACTGGCAGTCCAGTGCTGCTTGGGCTCGAGGAAGGCGGCTCCTTGCTTGAAAGTGGTGGTCTTCACTGGAAGGCAGGGCTCGTGCTGTGGTGTGAGAGAAGGGAGTTTCTTGGGGAAGTTTAGCATTGCAGTCGACTCGGAGTGGCTTTCGGGGAATCCACTCCAGCTTTACGATTCGTGGGCGAGCATAGGAAAGAAAGGTGGAAGTCCTGGAGCGGAGTTTCATCTCAATGCCAGGATAGAGGCAGATCCTCGCTTCGTTTTCCAGTTTGACGGGGACACTGCTTCCGGCCCACAGATTATACAAATCCAGGGAAGCTTGAGGCAGCCCATCTTTAGTTGCAAGTTCAGCAGGGATCGTAGTTGCCGCGCTAGGTGAGAAGCTCTCTTCGAGTTTGTAGCTTGGCGATGGCTTTCTCACTGGCATTTCTTCTTTCACTTTTTGCAGGCTAGGATTCACAGATACTCCAGCGAAGAGCTGGTCCACACCGCTAACAGGAGATAGAGAAAGAGAACGCAAGGAACGAAAGGGGTGGCTTGTGATGATCCACGACCTCTCGGGCTCTCCCGTGGCTGCGGCTTCGATCGTCACACCTTTCGTGCCGTCGTCGGGGTCCGACTACGTGAGCCGATCAAACCCAGGTGCGTGGCTCATCCTCCGCCCGGACTCCACCGGAGTCGATAGCTGGGAGCCGTGGGGGAGGCTGGAGGCCTGGAGGGAGAAAGGTGGCAAGGGTGGTCTCGGGTTGAGATTCCAGCTGGTTGCTGAAGGTGGTGGCATCACCAGCGTCGGGAGTGGGATCCTGGTGTCCGAGACGGTGATCAGCACCCAGAGTGGCGGAGAGTTCTCGATCGACACGGTCAGGCTGCGGGTGGAAGCGGCATCCTCGTCGTCTTCAACGGAGAGTCCTCACAGCAGCGGGGATGGCTTCCTGGGGCTGGGCTTCCAAGTCGCGGGTGGATTCGTGATGAGCTGCCCCGTCCACGGCGAGAGGAACAAGACGAACAAGGGCCGCTGCATCCAGATGGCTGTGAGGCACGTAACTTGCGTGGAGGACGCGGCGGTGTTCATGGCTCTCGCGGCGGCGGCGGACTTGAGCATGGATGCGTGCCAGCCATTCTCGAGGAAGCTGAGGAGAGAGCTTTGCTACCAGCAGGGCGAGTGAGATGATCGATCTATCATCGATCGAGAGAGACGAGGACGAGATGATCCGAGACAATGGTGATCGCGAGGACGAGACGAGAGGAGCGTGGCCAATTTTCTCCCGCGAAAGTCTATATGATTAAATAGCTAGAGATTAATTAAAGGAGGGAGGTTTAGTTTAAGCAATGGTTTTAGGGCAAGGTTTCTATAAATAATAGATTGGGGCTAATTTAGTGGCCAGTGTGGCTATAAACGTTTAAACCTCGCGAGAGAGGGACGAAGGCGCGGGACGATATTGCGAGCCCTAGATGTCGCAGCGATCAGGTCAGCGATTCTCCGCTCTTGTGTTCTCTAGATCCGACGCGCCGCGCAATGCCAGGCCATGGACGACAATCGATGCCTGTGGAAGAAGGACTGGCCGGAAGAATCCCAACTTAACGTCTCCTATCTGCTGTGAGATCGATTGCGCTGTGCCGGGAGCGATGGTTTTGATCGAGATCTTGCTGTTGCAGGTATTGCGCGATGAAGGATCGGGATCCTGAGCCAGTGGACCAGGAATCGCTCAAGAAGTTTTGCCAGGCTATGGAGAGGGTGACATTCGCAAGCTCCGACACACTGGTAAGCGTGGATGATTTAGCTGAGAAAGAAAGGAGAGTTCCTTTTCTTTGTTCTTGAGAGACTGGAATTTTTTTCTTTCTAAGAACTCTATTTCGTGTTTCCTTTCTCCAGGAAGATTACATCGCCAACATTGCGTGCTTGATTGAAGGGAAGTGCCACCAACGAATTGGCCCCGAGGAGAAAGATTACCTCAAGCTTGTCACAGAGGAGATCCTCGAAACCATGTCGTCATCGCCTTCGCAATCGCAACGGCGAGAAGACCATCCAACTGCGGCTGTAGCTCTTGGCGGTACGTTATCTTTCTTCCAAAGCTGTGTAAATCTTTGTTCCATGCAGAGGATGAAGCAGCACGAGCAGCCAGCACCAGCGAGACCACGATACCGGAGCTCGATCTCACCGATATCCCCGACTTTGTAAATTCAACTGCTAACCTCGACGACATTGAGATGACTCTGGACAGCATGCCGGATGATTTACACTTGCTCGACGATACCAATATGATATAATCAATCGATTGAGTCCTTCCTTCTGTAACGCCATACTCCTCGATATCACGACGATTTTGTATAGAATTTTCGAAGTGTCACTATAAAAGCAAAACACCATCATATAACTTTTGCGAAATAAATCAAACGAACTTTAGCTTACATGTTGTTCTTGTAGAGATTGTTCTTCCGGGCCCGACACAATTGGGCAAGCAGCTGCTGGTTCTTCCAGAAAGCATGGAGCAAATCGCTCAATCAAAAGTTCCAGCTTCTTCTCGAAAGGCCAGTTCCACTTATGTCCCAAGTGTACACGCATTTCGTGCCATCGCTTGAGACATATCTCTCCTGACCTGCATTGGACAAAGACTATAAAATATATGGTAGAAAAGAAAGAAAGCCATGCCTTCCGGACAATAGATTATCCCAGTCGATGGACTCTTCATCTGGCGCACCGGACTCGAGCATTCTGCGTAAACGACCGACACCACGAGTTAAAAACTACCAGGGAAAAAAGAAAACTCTGCCAAGTACCTCCGTAGAAGAAGATGGTCGTCGCCAGTTCCCCACTCCTTGGTTTTAACCATAGGAGAACACAAATCCCGGTACCTATGGAAGACAATCGCAAAGTTAGCAAGAAGAAAAAGAGGCTTTCATAGCTCTTCTTTACCAGAGAACTCGGTAGTGACTCTCTGGACGACCGGGTAGCTTTGCGGCAATCGAACGCCAAGGGATGTCTTCCTCTCTATGCCTTGGAACATTTAGCCGCGCATACTCGGCCAAAACGTTGTGGACTGTCGAAGTCACCTTGGCGATTTCCTCGCTTGAATACTTGCCTGTAAAAAAAAACACCCGGCTTGCTTGCTATCTTAACCAAGAAAGATCGTTACCTCTCTTCTGCAAAGCATTGACATAGTAATACTTTGTTGCAACATTGCGCTTATTCCTCCCAAGAAGCTTCGATATCAGCGTCCACCTTTTGCCATGCGTCAGAACAAGGCTGCCACACCAAAGCAAAAACTTCTTATAAAAATATATACACCACAGCGCATACCTTTGGAGCCGTTCCACTTCCTCTGGTGGCCATATCCCTTTCTGGCCGAAAATGTCCAAGACAGATTCTGCTCGATATTTTACAGAGATTGGGTTTCTCTCCGGAAGGCAAGCCACTGCCACAAAGTAGAGAATATTAGGATGTGAGCCACAACAATACAGTGTCTATTACCAAGCGCTTTCGAAAGCTCTCGCCCAAGTCGACGCTGCTCTGGAGTTTCTCGGTCCAGATAAAGTTTGTATGTTTCATGCAGGTCCAACCCCTTGGTCTGCGCAAGAAAAAAAGCAAAAGGAAAGAGTCAGCTTTACGAGTGAAGGCTAAAGTGCGTACCTCTGCAAACTGACGAACTGCTTGTCTTATCGCCTCGTCCTCTTCCTCGGTAAACTTCTTATTGTATAGGGGATCTTTCAATCTCCGCTCGCACAGAGGCCTCTCGTTCGGGACTGTCGGTTGTAACTCCACTCCACCGAAATGGACTTTCTTCTCTGTAGCGGCCTCGTTTAAAACCACCGCAGCACCGAAAGAGACCTTCTTCTTTATCTTCTCGTTTCGAATCGTAGACTCAGCATGGTTTCCCAAGTTCTTCGTACAAGTATGGAGATCGCCGCCTGTCTCGACGGAAACTGGTCTCTCAGCCTTCTTAGTTTTCTCTTTACGCTGTTTGTCACTACTGCCACGCTCGTCTTCACGCTGCTTGAGCTTGTTATCATCCTGACTTTCTGCCACCTCTAGTTTCTTCTTCCGCTTCTTTTTCTCGTAACAAGCAGCGGAGTTATTCTCTTGCTCCTCAGCCACGTCCACTGCATGAAATTTCTTTTTCTTCTTCTTCCTCTCCGGTTCTTGGTGTTCTTGATCATCGCCAGCTTCAGGACTCTCGGCATCGTCAAGCGCGGCTGCGTGTTTGTCTTTCTTCCTCTTCCTCTTGGAAGGAACTGGATCAACGTTGGCAGTAGCATTCTCCTGCCTAGATTCTTTCCTCCTCTGTTGATCGTCACTGCTTACTTTCCGATCGGCCGTATCATCACTTGCTATCCTCTTCTCTCGCTTCTTCTTCTCTAACTTCTTATTCTTCTCCGATTCGAGAGGAACTTTAGTACTGTCCTCTCGGATCTCGCTCTCGTCACAAACAGTGGGCTGATTCTCTTGTTCCTCCACATTTATTCCTGGCACATTCTTCTTTTTTTTCTTCTTCTTCTTATCCTCCTTTGCAATCTTTTCAACGTCAACTCCAGCATCTTCCTTGTGCTTTGTGCTCTTCGAAGAAATTTGAGCGGCTCCACCTTCTCGATCACCACCTCCGGCATTCTTCTTTCGCGTCTTCTCGTGACCATCTAGCTTCTTTTTCCCGTCCGAAATCTTCTCTTCCACTAAATCCTTGTCTTCGTGCTTTCGCTTTCGCTTCTTTTTCTCGTGGCCGGCTTCCTCTTCCTCTTCCTCCCGTTCCTTTTCACCCTCAAAATCCTCGTTTTTGGATTCTTCTGGAGCTGGATGCTTGGATTTTCTCCTGCTCCTCTTCTCTTTACCCTCTGCGATCTCTACCCCTGCGTCCTCGTCACTCTGGCGATTCACACCAGCATTCTTCCCCGTCAGCTCACCTGTGCGATCGCAATCCTCCACAGTTCCATCGCCCTTCTCCTCGATCGGATCCTTCGCGCGCTTCCTCTTGCGCTCGCCCATCCCGGGGGCCAAATTGACCTAAAACCCCGTCATCTAAACAGTATAGAGATTTGGACGGCAAGGATTCTCCGGCCCCCAGTTTTGGACGCCTACGCAACCCCATTCGTCTCGCGTGGCGCTCTATCAGCCATCCAAATCCCAAACGGCCGGCCATGATTTTGCAAAATGGTGCGCGCCTGGCCGTCAGATGCGCAGTTTGCGAACCACATCTGGGCCGTCGCGGTTTCGCAACGGACGGCACGGATTTCTCGAGAGATGGGTATTCGTCTTCCCTAAGTGAAAGTGAATGGCTATGGAGGAGGAAGCTTGCATCCGCTGCTCCACGATACGATAGCGGCGGGGCGAGGAAAGAGGGGAAATAAAAGCTTCTCGGTGTTTCTGCCATGGCCATCGCGGATTCTCTGTCTTGGGCGGCGGCGGAGGTGAGAATTTTCGCGGCAATTGGCAGGAGTCGAGGCGATCGGCCAAGAGCATCGGGTGAGTTGGGCTCTCGATTCCACTCGCGCTTTGTTTCTTCCCCAATTTGTGGATTGGACTAGTTTTCCCAGCTAGTATCATCTGTTCTCGTGCATGATTTGTTTATGCGATCCATGCCAGGTTGAGCGATCGGCCTAGAAACTAGGAGGAGGAATCCAGAGAAAGCCAACAAACAAGGAGAAAAAAATGGGAGGTGCTTGCTCGAGAAAGAGAGACCAAAGGGAAGGAGACCTTGACGATGGCTATGGTGGCTCCGCGAGATTTAGTCGCAGCTTCTACTTTCGCTGGCCTTCCAGGAACTTTGAGAGGGATATTAGCGACGAGCAAGACAATGCAAACAAGGCTCCATCGCTCCTGGAGCTTGCAGTGCGAGAGACTTGTAAGGTAAGTTTTTGCAAAGTTTTCTATGGTTCTTCCATTGTTCTTGAGAGTTTTCTCTTTCCTTGTCAACTCAAGAACACACAAGGTATCAAATCGTTTGAGAAGCTGCCGAGGGATTTAACGCAGAAGATCCTCAACGAGCTCGTCCAGACTCAAGCTCTTTCTCGAGAGCTCTTTCAAGCTTTCGAGGACTGTGCCATCCAGGTACGATCAAAGCCATACTTTAGAACTATCTCCATGAATGAAAACTTTGTGGATTCCAGGACATTTATCTCGGCTACTATCCGGGTGTTGATGATAGCTGGATGGAAGTCATAGGCTCGCAGAAGTTTTGCTTGCTAGCGGTGGATTTTTCTGGTTCTATGGTTACGGACGAAGGCGTGCAGTGCCTTCAAATCTGTGAAAACGTAGAGATCATCTGCATGAACGAATGTAAATACATATCAGACATTTCTCTGAGCTACTTCACAGGTAAGTCTCTACTCGTCACTTGCTTCTAGTCTCGTTTCATTTGCTTTGTCATTGCGTAGGCTTCACGAATCTTACGTCGTTGAGCTTCCAAAAGAACAAACTTATAACTCCGGCTGGGATGAGACACTTGGCTGGTCTCCCAAACCTCAAGCACTTGGATTTGGAGCGATGTCCAAAGATTCACGACGGCCTTGTTTATATCAAAGGTAGTTCTTTTTACCCATCTCTCGTTGTTAGCTAGCTGCGAACTTCTCTTCTTTTGGTCTTTGGTATTTATGAACAGGACTCACAAAGCTGGAGAAACTAAATCTCGGATGGTGCAACTGCATCCGGAGCTCCGACATGAAGCAGCTTTCTGGTTTGCTTTGTTTTTCTTTTTTCAGGAGTAAACTGGGAGAGACTTTTACTCCTCGCAGGTTTAACCAACTTGCTGGAACTCCAAATCTCCCGAAGCAAAGTCAAGGACTTTGGAATCACCTTCTTGAAAGGTATTTGATCTTTTGCTTTTCTTTTTGGAGTTCTGTGATCGACCGCTTTCTTTCGCTGCAGATTTGAAGAAACTCGAAGTACTAAACATGGAAGGCTGCCCAGTGACTTTTGCCTGCATGGACACGATTGCTGGTACGTAATTTAATGGTTAAAAACCTTCAAGTCTTCCCATCTGCTGTGGATTTTTTCATCCTTTCAGGTTTGACTTCCTTGACAACTCTCAATCTCAAGTCCTGCTACATCTCAGATTTCGGCTGCCGAAAACTCGAAGGTAGAGATACTACACACTTCTGCCGATCACGTTCTTTCTTGTTTTTCATATATCAGGCCTCGGAAACCTCAAGAACTTGAATCTGAGCTACACAAATGTGAGCGACGCTGGAATGGTGTACCTCAAAAGTATGAAAAAAAGATTGTCTCTTTCTTGTGTTTCGGACGTCTCATTCTTTCTTTTCTTTTTTCCTTGGTGCTTGCAGACCTCAAGAGTCTCCAGTTCCTAAACCTTGACTCGTGCAAGATCGGAGATCAAGGAGTACAGAACTTTAAAAGTATGCAATTTGTTTCTCGAATAACATCTTGCTGGATTGAATACAAAACTGCCTGTGTGCCTGTGGTTCTGTGCTGTGTGACTGCAGACCTTGTAAATCTCAAGAGCTTGGATCTTTCCGACTCGCTGATTGGGAACCATGCTCTCAACTTCCTCACGGGTAAACTTGTTTCCTCTCCTTTGTCACATTCTCACAGCGAAAAAATCTCTTTTTCTTGTGTTTCCCAGGCCTCTCGAAGCTCGAGAGTCTAAATATCTCGTCCACAATGGTGACGGACATGGGCCTGCACAAGATCTCAGGCTTAACATCGCTCAAGTCTTTGAACATTGACTCACGACAGATTACTGACACCGGCCTCATGGCCCTCACAAGTAATAACTCTTCCTCTTTTCTCCACATTGATTTCTTCCTTTTCGTTCGCTCACTGTCTGCCGAGCGAAGAAGAAGAAAACTCACAGCTTTTTCTTTCGCAGGCTTAACTAATCTTACGCACCTGGATCTGTTTAGCGCTCGCATCACGGACTATGGCATCGGCAGCCTTCGACGTACGTAATATAATCTTTTCGATCTCTTTCTTTTTTCTTTCGAGCTTTGTCTTCGCTGCCGTGTGTCGTCCCCTTGTGCCCAGATCTCGACAGGTCCTTAAAGTTTTTGGTTTTTTTGCTTTCTCTCTGGTGCGCAGATTTCAAGAAGCTACAGTCCCTGGAGGTCTGTGGTGGTGGAATAACAGACGTAGGTGTCAAGAGCTTAAAAGATCTGACAGATCTTACGTACTTGAACCTCTCGCAGAATGGTCAGCTGACTGACCAAGCCTTGGAGGCTCTCTCGGGTGCGTAGCTCTCGGTTCCTAGATTGCTAGATTGCTCCTTGTTTATGTTTCCTTGCAGGCTTGACGAAGCTCGTGTCGCTCAACGTCGGGAACTCGTCCGTGACGAATGCGGGGCTGCAGCACTTGCTGCCGCTCAAGAATCTCACGTCGCTGGCGCTCCAGTCGTGCAAGGTGACGCTGTGGGCGATCCAGAAGCTGCAAGCGTCGTCGCTCCCCAATCTGGTGATCGTCCGACTGCGGTGAAATGAAATCATCCACCCTTGCGATGAATCGATCGGAGCACGAAGAACACTGAAGAAGAAAACTCGCTGTAAATAAGTACGTTTGCAACTCAAGCTGTAGATACACACAATGGAAAGAAAGAATTCGTTTGCGCAAATCCTGGCCGTTGAATGCTATCGTTTAAACAAATCCTGGCCGTTGGTTGCCAACTGTCTGTTGTTTAGGGCTTCTAGCAATGGTGATTGTTTTCTTCTTTTCCTTGCCTGCCTCACACTCAATCTTGACCCAGTCTCTCTCACGCCCAAGAACCCTAAACAACTGGGCGACAATGCGGGGAATTAGGGTTTCTGGGGAGCGAGCGTTGATGGGTCGCTTTCTGCTGAGATTCTCACTCCATGCGCGGTCATTTATGCCAGCCCCACACACTCACGAGTCAGGCCTGCCTCTTTTGAGGACCCACAAAGACAAGCAAACACCACAGAGGAGAGAGGAGAGAGGAAAGAGAGTGGCTTTCTTTCTTTTAGGGTGTAATATTATACCTTAGCTCCCATGGAATCATACAACACAGTCATGCAAACAATTGAATGCCAGGAATTTATTGACTGCTTTTGTCTATAGTACAACACCCGCCCAAAGTATGATAGGAAACATGGCATTCCTCCGTCTTTTTTTGCCTTTAGATATTTTTTAATTTCTTTTCTTTTCGTTTTTTCTATAATTTTTTTTTTGTATTTTCTGGAGAGGAAGCGAGAACTCTGCTGCCGCTGTTGATGTTACAAACACCATACTATTAAATGCGTGCGGCCAAGAGCCTACCAAATCTTCAACTGAAGTTTTTGTTTCAAGTCAGTGCGAGGATAAGAAAAGGTGGCGGTGGTTAGACTCGTGATTAAATGCGTGCTTTAGCGTAAGCCACACGTACGCGCCGTAGATCCTCCGGATCACCAAACCATGCCACTCACTCATTTCACTTTACTTTGAACAAAAAGATCCAGCCAACAGCAAACAAAATTCGCCCTCCGGGTAGAAACCCTAGAAATCTACGCTAGGAACTGAAGATGCCTACACACATTTCCATACAAAAGTTGGTGGGGCATGTACCGTGACGTACCAGTGCGCGTCTTGCCCTAATTTAATAACACCAAATGATTGGAGCCCCTTAGGCCCTTGCAATTTGCCCTTTCTGGGCATTTTGTTCCTCCTAATAGTTTAGTTCTCTCTCTCTCTCTTCTTCTCTCTTCTCTCTTCTCTCCTCATTGATCGGCTGCGGCGCCCTATCGACCAGCCTCGCTAGATTCTTTCGCTCGCGCGCGCGCTGGATTGATTGCCAATGACGTCCATCGCCGCTCCATCATCGCCCCCGGCCGCGCGAGCCGCCGAATCCCCTACTTCTCCGGCCGAGCAAATCGATCCACCAGAGTAGTGGGGAGATTCTAGAAGAGAGGGCAATGGAATGGGATCGTGGTCGCCGGCGGACGAAGAATCGCGCAGAACCCACTTGAGAGTGGAGCGAATCTCGACTTGGGTCGCGCGAATCTTCCCGATCCATCTCTGTTTCAAGCTCCTGGGCCACTAATCTTGCCTCGCAAAGCAATGCCTCCTCTCGCAATCGCAATTCCTCCTCTCTATCTCTAGATCGCTCGCAAGCAAAGGGGAAGCTCTCGAGCTATGGACGCCTACGAAGCCACCCAGCTCGTCTTCGCGCGTGTCCAAGCCCAGGATCCAGAGAACGTCTCCAAGATCATCGGCTTGATGCTACTCCAGGACAGGAGCGAGCAAGAAATGGCGAGGCTGGCTCTGGGCTCCGACGCTCTCCTCCAATCCGCCATAGCGAAAGCAAGAAGAGAGCTTGGGCTATTCGCCGCGAATCCCCATCCCGGCCTCTCAGATCAACACCATCACCACCGACAACACCACCACCAGCAGAGAATCAATCGCCCAAGTCTCCTCTTCATCCCAGAGGGAGGCACAGTATCCTCGTCTCCCAGCAATCTCTTCCAGCCCAGCCCCAGCCCCGACGAATTCGCCACCGACCAATGGCTCCTGAATCACAACCACCAGTTCCAGCTCCACCAAGATCCCCTCCTCAAGAACACGTCGCGATTCTCCACCTCTTCCTCGCCAGCAGCAGATGCCCAGAGGAGGCATTTGCAGCAGCTCCAGTTTCCAGCCTCGCACTATCCCTCCTCGCACGATCTGGCGATGGCGCTCACTTGCAAGCCCTGCCTCTACTACTCCAAAGGCCACTGCAAGCGCGGGACTAGCTGCCGGTTTCTCCATGGCACCGGATCTAGCGCGACCGTCCCCGGCAATGGCAGCAACGGATCCATCCCCTCTCCCGGCGGCTGTAGCCAGTGTTCTTCGCCAGCTCCATCTTTTGACGATTTGCTGGGATGCTCGCCGAATTCCTCCTCGCCCAGCAGTCCATCGTCGGGATCTCTCGAGCGACTGGAGATGGAGCTCCAGGAGCTGCTGCGAGGGCGGAGGACGCCAGTGTCGATCGCGTCGCTGCCCCAGCTCTACTTCGAGAAGTTTGGGAGGGCGCTGCAAGCACAGGGCTATCTCACCGAGAGCCAGCGCCATGGCAAAGCTGGATGTAGCCTCACCAAGCTCCTCGCGCGGCTCAAAGGGAGCGTAGCTCTCATCGACAGGTAAACACGTCAAAAATCCATTTTTTTCTGCTCGATCTGGATCCACCCTTGCATTGTTCTTCGATCTTTGATCTTGTCTGCTGGTTTGGTTCTCTTCTCTTCCCATTGTTTTCTCGTTGGTTGCTGGGATTTCTCCATTGTTCCTGGGATTCTTTTGGTGGTAACTAAGTAAATGGTTGGTTTCTTTTTTCTTTTCCTGCGAAGACCCCACGGCCAGCATGCAGTAGTTCTTGCGGAAGATGCGCAGAGATTCGTGGGGTATAGAGCCGATCGCGACGATCTCAAGGACGTGAATCCCAGCTCTAGGCAAATCTATCTCACTTTCCCGGCGGAGAGCACCTTCACGGAGGACGATGTTTCAGCACACTTCAGGTAGATCAATTCTAGTTTTTTTCTTTCTTTTCTTGCTCTCAAAACGAAGTTTTTGTGTAGATCTTATGGTCCAGTCCAGGATGTTCGAATTCCATACCAGCAGAAGCGAATGTTTGGATTCGTCACCTTCATCTATCCCGAGACTGTCAAGGCGATACTGTCCGAAGGGAATCCTCACTATATCTGCGGTGCTCGTGTTCTCGTCAAGCCATATCGCGAGAAAGCTAAGCTCGGTGAAAGGTAAGAGAGCTCTCTCTCTCTCTTTTTCTACGTTCCTCGTTCTGACGTAGCAAAATTTCTACCAGAAAGCAAGCCGAGAAGATCGATCCGCTACGCTTGCAGCTTCGCGGCTTGGGTGGCAAAGACTTCATGCAAGGTAATACATGTTCTTTGAGATCGATCGAGTTTACCAAAGGCTGTGTGCTCCAGATCCGAGCTTCTACGATGTTCTTGCGAGGCGATTCGAGGAGGAGCGATACCTGGAGTTAGAACGAAGACGAGTCATGGATTTCCATTCGCTCCGAGCCCGTGCTGCCGAGGTAGAGGCTGCGGAGGCTGTGACAACCGCAAAGTTACTACTGCTCGACGAGCAAGAGAGGAAGCTAAACAGCACTGCTTCCACGACCAACCTCAATGGAGTTCACGTTAGCTTGGACTCCCCCGAGGTTCCTGGAACTCCACGAATCATGGAGCACAACAACAGTGGCAGTAGCAGTAGCAGCAGCCATGGGAATGGGATGAACGAAGCCGTGCTAACACTAGAAGGTTGGATTTTTTTTGTTTGGATCTTCTCTGGCGCTAAGTTTTCGAAATGATCGAGCAGATATGCAGCAGTTCCAGTCGAGCAATCCCTTCGGATTCGTCATGGACGTGCTGGAGGGTGAAGGTGGCGATGAGAGTGAAGCTCTTCATCCACTTCCCGATGATGCTACGCTCAAATACGACGAAGATCTTGTGACGTAAGTCACAGTCATATGATAGAACTTGATTACTCACTTTGGAAACTTCTAGCAGCGCCGATGGGAATGGACACAACCTACCCGAGAGTCCATTCGCCAGCCCACATCACAGCGAGAACTCTTCCAACTCGCACATACCGGAAGAACACCACGATCAACCTCCATCTCTGTCAATCGAAGAGAAGATGATGGGGCTGGATCTCAACGAAGTTTTCAACCTCGCACCGCCGCCCAACGACATCATTTGCTGCATTTGTCTCAGTAAGTCCCACTCTCACGAATTGTTGTAAAAATCCAAGCTTACTTCGTTTCTTCCTGTTCTTCGTCCAGAGCACTGCGTAGAGCCATCCAAACTGGACTGCAGCCATACCTTTTGCGTGCAGTGTATCCTGAAGGTAAAAATCTCTCTTTTCTCTCTCGACTTTAAGCTTTGCTCATCGTTCTCTTCATTTTCTCCAGGTTATCAAAGGATCAAAGGATGAATGTCCAATCTGCCGACAACACATAGGCAGCCAAGTATACAAAATCTTACAAAACAGGGATTTACAGTCCTGGCTCTCCCCCACAGCACTAAGTCACAGAATCCCGCAACACATATGGTAGGAAGAACAGCAACAAAACAGCGAAAAGAAGAAAATTTACCAACACCACAACACAGCAAAACAAGAAAGATCACAGCAACAACGGGGTTTGAGTCCTTTCAATCAATCAATCAATCGAAAGCACCAACACAACTTGACCGATGAGAGAACTTTACAGCAACAAATACACCAGAAAGTTTTTCTTTTTTCTTCTTACGAGGCTCATCTCATACTTTCTAGCTAAATAACACAACTCGATCATACACAGGACGACATAACCAGATAAATCTCTTTTTCTTCTCTTTATATATGATGGGAGAGGCCCAATCTTTCGAAAAAAATCAATATACGAGACTATATGGTGCAAGAGATTGCGCTTTGTGACGTTGAGAGTTTTAATGGAGCCGGTTTCTTTTGGCGATGCTGGAAACCAATGTGTGTGGATCGTCCACTTCCAAAACACCAGGACCTTTGGCACTATGGAAAAGATCGCTATCACGAAGAACTATATAATCTTTGATAGAGTGACACCCGGGGTCATATAATAATAACAGTTCCATTCCATGATCTCACTCCAAAAGTGTTGTGTCAAGGCAACAGCCTTCCCCTTGTTCGCTTGTCCAAGTTGAAAGTTTTGTGTGTCCCGCATTACATGAGACACGGACTTCACTTGGCATGTGAAACATCACATTGGTTGTCGCCTTTAAGAAAAACAAAAAAAAAAGAAGAAAATCGCAACTTTTTTCCAAATATAATAGTATATTTGTTCCTTTGTATTATAATAATGAGAATCAAATGATTTTTTCGTGGATCTACTCGAAAACGTGGATCTTAAAAGTGGATTCGTCCACCACCTCAAGAACAAGCGCATCCCCGACTTTAATCTTCTCAGCCCTTGCAAAGCCTCTCCATCCACCGCTCACGACGTGCCTGGCAGCCAGCCACCGCGCCGGGAACCTCTCGTCCCTGGAATTCACGAGCATCACAGCGGTATCGACCTTGGGCATGAAAGCCTCCGAGAATTGCTTGTGCACAATCTGCAAGATCACAACAAAGTTTCTTAAGAGCAAGAGATGGCGTGGCGGAAGAACAACGCTAACCAGGTAGTAAGTTGGATCGAGTGTACTCTTTGTGGTCGCCAAGAGAACGCTCGGATTGGAGCACTCGAATTTAGAGGCTGCTGCGATTGCCGATTCGGAGGAAACGGTGCGGCTGGAGCAGCTGAGGGTCACCTTGATGAGCTTCTTGGCTGTGGATTTCTCGCTGCCCACTGTCGTCTTTGCTCGCTTCTTGAGAGGAACTTCTGGATGATCCATGCTTCTCTTGAGGATGTTGCCATTATCAATTATCTCGTGATAGTCATCAGCAGTGATTCTATCCCTGGTTTCCTGCTTACAATTATTGCCACTGTTAACTTCGCTTCCAAAAGGATTGTTTGCCTTGGCAATGTCACAGGACTGGGACTTCTTTCTCTCGCATCCATCTCCGCCGTAGATGGTCACCAGAACATTGGACGGCTGGATGCGCTTCATCAGCACAACATCGTCCAAGGATAGCTCGTTGTCCAGGCAAAAAGATCTCCATCCCTTGTCCAGCAGGAAATCGCCCGAGTCCTCGCGGATCGCCACGCTCCACGACGATCCGCTGGAATTGGCGAGCGTCAAATTCGCGGGCACCACGCCATCTCCATCGAGAAACCCTTCCGGAACCACCTGTTTGATCAATCAACTCCGAGAGATCAATCGATCCAGAACTGTAGCGAGAGATGTAAATCGCTTACGCAAGTGTGTAGATTCTCCTTCGCCTTGATGGCCTTGCAGAAAGTAGCCATTCTTTCTTCCACAAAGAAAGGCTGCGTTACCCAAAATTTTTTAGGGTTCTTGCTAGTCTCTTCTTCTTCCTCTCGCTGGAAAGATTCGCGAGGATCAAATACGGCGCGGCGCTGCTAGGATCGATCCCCGCCACGCGCTCCGCCACCCTCGCGCCACGCTCCCGATCCCTGTGCACATCGCAAGCGCCCAGCAAGCTCACGAGCTCCACAAGATTGGGCTCGTAAGGCATGCTCTCGATCAGCTCCTCCGCCTCCGCCAGCAGCCCAATTTTCCCCAGCACATCGATCATCCGGCAGTAGTGCTCGCGCAGAGGCGCCACACCGCGATCGCTCTCCATCCGCGAGAAGTAGCGGCATCCATAGCTGAGCAATCCAATGTGGCCACACGCGGTGATGACGCTCATCAATCCGGCCTCGTCTGGCTTGAATCCCTCCAGCTCCATCGCCTGGAATGCGATCACGGCCTCGCGGCGGTGGCCCGAGTGGGCGTAGGCGGTGACTAGGGCATTCCAGGAGAGAACGCTGCGCTGGGGCATCCTCTCGAAGAGATCTCTCGCCTCGCGGATATGCCCGTTCTGGGCATATGCCACCACCACCGCGTTCCAGGACACGTGGCTCTTTCGACGGATGCGATCGAACGCCAGCTTGGCCTCCGCCAGGCAGTGGTTGCTACCGTAGCCCGACACCATTACGGTCTGGGATACAGTGGTGGATTCCTCCGCTTCCGCTGCAGCTCCGCTATCTTCTCCGCTACCTCCGCCGCCTCTACCCCCATTACCACCCAGCGTGGCGTAGAGCGACTCGGCACTGGAGAGATAGCCCTGCTGGGCGTAAGCGGCGATGAGGGCGTTGGCGGAGGCGGCGCTGTGGCGGGGCATCTGGTCGTAGATGCTCTTAGCATCTTCCAGATGCCCGTTCTGGGCATATGCTGCCACCATGGCGTTGAAGCTGACGAGGCTCCAGCGTGGAATGGCGTCGAATATTTTCTTGGCGTGTTCTAGCCGGCCGTGCTGGGCGTAGCCCGTGATCATCGCGTTCCAGGTGACAACGTCGCGCTGGGGGATCTCACCGAAGAGTTTCTCCGCACGGGAGAGATTCCCACCGTGCTGCGAGAGCCCCGCGATCATGGCGTTCCAGGAGATCGCGTCGTGGCGCGGCATTGAATCGAACAGGTGCTGCGCTCGATCCAGATCCCCCTGCTGCGTGTAGATCGCGAGGATCGAGTTGCAAGACACCACGTCTCGCTCGGGCATCGCATCGAACAGCCGTTGGGCTTCGTCGTGATCGCCGCTCAGCGAGAATGCTGAGATCATCGAGTTCCACGACACGAGATCCCGCTGCTTCATCTCACGATCGAAGATGGCCTTCGCCTTGTCGATGCGATCATTGTCGCCGTAGGCCACCAGGATCGTGTTCCAGAGCGCGGTGCTCACCAGGGGAGTGGAATCGAAGATAGCTTGCGCTCGATCAACGTTCCCAAGCTCGCTGTGAGCGGAGATCAGAGCATTCACAGACACGAGATCCCGCTCGGGCATCTCCAGAAAGAGCTTCTCCGCCTCCTCGATCGATCCATTGTGAGCAAATCCCGCAATGAGAGTGTTCCACGACACTAGATTCTTCTCTAGCATCGTGTCGAAGATCTCTCTCGCTTTTTCCAGATGCCCGGCTTGAGCATTTGCGTGAATCATAGCAGTCCACGTAACTACATTCCATCTGGGCATTCTTGCGAAAACATTCTCGGCATCTATCAAACTATCGTTTTGGGCATACGCTTGTAACATTGCGGTCCAAGAGATCACATCTCTCTCGGGCATGGTATCAAAGAGAAGCTTCGATTCCTGAAACTGCCCGTTCTGGGCATATGCTGTGAGCATCGCGTTCCAGCAGACGAGATTCTTGGGCAAGGCACGATCAAAAACCAGCTTAGCGGAATCCACGTCGCCCTCTTGGCCATAGGCGACGATCATGATCGTTGCCGCAACAGCGTTTTTGAGCGGCATCCCCGCGAAGAAATCAATTGCCCGAGCGAGATCCCCATTCTGGGCATAAGCAGCGAGCATGATCGTCCAGGAGAAGAGATTGGGGGATTGGATGGAGTCGAAGATCTTGCGCGCCTCTTCGATGCTGCCACACACGGCATACATTTTGGTGGTCATGTTGAGGAGGTATGTGTTGGTGGCGTGGTTGCTGTGGAGAATTTGCGAGTGGATTCGCCGGCCCTTGATCAAGTCTCGCGACTGAGCGCAAGCATTGAGCAGTGCCGCCAAATCATCCTGCTCCTTTCTTGCCACCCCAAACATTGGTGGGGCATTTCTAGCCTAGAACTAGCCGAATCTTAAACTTCATTGAATGAATAGATCTTCTTTACGAGGCAAGGCTCTCCACGAATTTCTTGAGGTTCGTGTGAGAAGAACCTCCGGGAGAAGCGGCCTTGACAGCCAATTCTCGAATCTCCATCGCCCTGGCTTTCAATCTCCTGCCTTGCTCTCCCTCCATGATCGCCCTCACTTTCTCTTCCACCTCTTCTCTCGGCGCAAATCCATCCTTCCCTCCAGATCTCGAGAATGCCACTCCCACGCCCTCGCCTTCCAGCACCAGCTTGGCATTCGTGTTTTGCTCAAACATAGATGGCCACCCCAGCATTGGCACTCCACACGCCAAGCTCTCAAGCATGGAGTTCCATCCGCAGTGAGTGAGAAAAGCCCCTGTTGCTTCGTGCTGCAAGATCTCTAGCTGCGGCGCCCATCTCACGAACAATCCTCTCCCGCCAGTCCTGCTCACGAAACCTTTGTAGAACTCCTCGTCCATGCCAAGAACAGAGTTTGATCGTATCACCCAGAGGAAAGAAACCTTGCTTGCCTCCAATCCCAGCGCGATCTCCTCGAATTGCTTGGCAGTCATGAAGGAGATGCTTCCAAACGAAACATAGAGGACCGAACCACGATCACGCTTGTCTAGCCATGGAAGACAAGATTCATCCGGAGTTCTCAGGTTTACCTCTTGCAATCCAGTCGAATCGATCGCCTCTCCCTTGAGAGGAAACAATGGTCCAACCGGCACGAAATTCTCCCCGAATCCTTCCCTCATCGCTTCGAAAATTCGCGGCTCGATGTCGTGGACAGAGTTTATCAGAAACCAAGAATCCAGTGTGATCCTCTTGGAGCGATACAGTGATTGTTCTTCCCCGACTTTCTGGAATTCTCCGTCGTGCATGAAGAGTGGAATGTCTTGCGATCTTAGCTCCATTCCAGGGATGTAAGAAATCAGCTTTTCATCTCCCGCTGGCACCATAGAAATCCCAAGTTTTCTTAGAACACACTTCTAGATCAATCAAAGCTTCACCTTTGACAGGAACGTCTCCCATCTCCAGGAGCTTTGGAACGTGGAATTCGATGGCAGCCCAAGCAGCGTTTCCCGGCCAAAAGCTCGCTCCAGCCAATCCAGCCTTCTTTGCAGCGTGTGGAGCACTGAGATGGTAAAAGTCCGAGACTACACACGCGACTCGGGGGCCGTCTCGATCGATCTTGGACAAGAGCTCCGCGAGTGGATCCTCCATTCGGAAGATGGCCTGGGAGAAGGCGGCCTGCGCGTCGAAGTTCTTCTCGTCGAAGCCATTGGGAACTCGCATGTCCATAGAGATGGACTCGAGGCGAATGTCGTGGCCATTACTCACAGGATTGTCCTCGCTCTTCCAGGATTGCTGCAAGGTTTCGTGGATGCTGTCAACGTTGATGATGGTCACAGTGACTCCGAGGAGCGCGAGCTTGCGGGCGAGATAGATTATTGGAATGACATGTCCCTGTGCTGGAAGTGGGATAAGAATAACGTGAAGTTTCTTGTGAGAGCCCATGGATGATGATTAGACCAAGAAACAAAGAAGAAACTTTTCAAAGAGGAAGTTTTGATGGATCGTTTAAAATACCAGCACTTATGGGCTGAACTGGACATTGTTCTTTCCTCTACGTCTTGTCTTTCACTAATAATCGTATGATTGGCAATAGGAACCATACAGTCCAAGAGGTGGCCGTATTGTGGTTAAAATTTTGTGGTGAGAATTCAATGTAGCAGACACATATCCTTATCTGATCTGTCGCATGAAAACTTCCTACTCTAAATCAGACAAAGAGAAGAGACAAAGATTTTATTTTATTTAAGATAGATTTAAGTCTATAAACGTTTTTAATTCCTTCGAAAAACCTTTAAAGCAAAGTATAGTAGCTTTTTAACAAAATCCCATCTGCTTGGCAGCTTCTTTTGTCGAATGCTTGGCTGCTTCTTTTGTGGAAGATTGTGTAGATCAAATTCCTCGCACTCTGAGTGACGAGTGGAAGTCCTCTCAAAAACTTTCAACTTGCATTGAGGCGCTAGCGTTAACTTCCCTTCGTTCTTCACATCAAAGTATCTGATGGTCAACTCTCGCGATTTAGGGTTGGGCTTGTCCTGGTCATAGTGTCCCATTGGAAACCACCACTGGCAGGGATACTCTATGTTGCCCCACAACCGGAACTTGTAGTACCGAAGATTGGATCGAACAATTGCTTTCGTGACAAGAGTGTCCTTAGAAAGCTGGCCGACTTTAAAAGGTTTTTGATAGTCCACATGTTGAGGATTGATGTATTTCAACTCCAACTCCTCCACGGGCTTTTGGGCATCGTCCTTGCCATAGAAACTCACAATTGTAGATACCTCAAATCCAGAGAGAGGTTTGACAAGGATGAATCTCAGCTTAGTGAGCTTGAATCTTGCTTCTCGACCTGTCTTACCCAAAAACTTCCACTCTCCATCTTGCTCCTCTTTCCCAAATACTTCACACTCGAGATTGTTGGTGTTGGAAGAGAATAAAATCCTCTCCACTTTCATTACCCTTGGGAGTTCTACAATTAATTATTTGCTACGTCCCATGAGAATCCTATCAAAACCTAATTCTTGGAACTCTTATATAGAAGTTTCACAAAAGGTAGCTTTGCTGTCCGGGAAAGGGTGAAAGAAATTCACAGGACTTTGAGCGGCCACCATAGCTCCAATGTTTTCCTTGCAAATCTCATGTGGGGCCATGGGTCGTGATGATACGACGCTATGCAGTTGATAGGAACTTGGATCAAACCCAAGAACTATTTGATCGAATGCCCGAGACGAATGTAGTCTGTGATGGTACCCAGAAAGGGGACAGGAGAGAGAAATCCGGTTTTTTGGGGTGCTCTGATATCAGCCTATGAAGCGCACGACCAGCTGGAAGGAGCGAAGCGTTTTTTTATGCGATGGAGAAACCAAACATTTTACGTGCACACTGAGATGAACACTGCGTATGCCAAAGCCAGGGAAAATGAAAATGCCTAGAGGATGTATGCTCTCATGCCTGAGAAGGACGTAGTCGCTCGGACTACAATGCTGCAAGCGTTTGCTCACAATGGTGTTTTCGAGAAGGCAACGAAGATCTTTGATGTAATCCTTGACAAGGATGAAAGGAGCATGTATGGGAAATGCCGCAGCCTGGTGGACGCCGTCACAGTCTTCGACCGAGCCGACTGCAATGATCACGGCCTTTGGAAACAACCACCACTGCCGCGAGGCCATCCAAGCTCTCACTGGAATGGACTTGGAAGGCGTGGAAGCCAACCATGTCGGGGTCACTCCTCTCGGAGAAGCCAACCAGGCGAGCCTCCACTCCAGAAGCTTTCTCGTCCAGATGTTTGCGAGGTGTGGATCACTGCCCAGTGCCGAGGCTGTCTTTCGGCAAATCCCTCCACACGTAACTTCTTACGACGCCATGGTCGCGGCCTACCCTCGAGCTGGTGAGGCCCAGGAGGCCATCCGGACATTCGAACTCATGAACAGTGAGTGACAAAAGCCCCGGTTGATTCGTGCTGCAAGGTCTCTAGCTGCAGCGCCCAGCTCACAAACAATCCTCTCCCGCCAGTCCTGCTCACGAAACCTTCCTCGTCCATGCGAAGAACAGAGTTTGATCGTATCACCCAGAGGAAAGGAACCTTGCTTGCCTCCAATCCCAGCGCAATCTCCTCGATTTGCTTGGCAGTATTTTGCCTTTTGCCGCTTCCTCCATCCCGGATCCGAACAAAACCTTCTCCACGTCCACTTTCCTTCGTCTCGGGCACTGGTGACAGCACCTGGCGAGCTGGGCTCCCGACTAGGTTTCCATCCTTCACTTTCACAGCATTTACACTGAGACGTCGAGCTCTCAGTAGCTTTCCCCTTGGAAACTCTCCTGTTCTCTGTTGCTGTGGAGCAATCATCCTTTCTCCCAGGGTCACACTCAAAAGCATCGATTCCGGAGGCTTTTGGCTGAGCGTCAAAGCCGCTTGTTGGAGCAGTGCGCAAATATCCTTGTGGAAGTCCTGTAAAGATTCCTGCTTCTCTAGTGTCACAGGCGGAGAATCTTGTGCTGGACGTCTGGACAAGGTGGTGGCGGGGTGGAGTGTGTGGTAGCGGAAGCGAGGCTGGACTAGGTGGTGGCGGAGCTGGAGTGTATGGTGGTGGCGGTATTGGCGGCGATGGAGACAAAGGTAAAAGTAGCGTTGTTGGCAGCGTAAATGATAGTGGAGGAGAAGATGGTGGCGGTGACGAATTTATAAAAACTCCCGGGTGACATTCGATCGCATCCGTCGAAAGAGCCACGTGTCCTGGAACGCGGTGGTGGTGGCATATGCCCAGAACGGGCATATCCGTGAGGCGAAAGATCTTTTTCAGAGGATGCCCCAGCGCAGCGTTCTCTCCTGGAATGCTCTAGTCACCGCCTCTGCTCACGATTGTCTGTGCTACCAGGCCTTCTGCTCTAGCGAGCTTACCCCACTGCCATACTACCGAAGCTGCGGCAAGGAGAGCCGGGGAGGCCGAGAGTTGCATGCCAGAAGAACGTTGTAGTTCTTCATCTGCAGCGAGTGCAACGCACTAGAGAGATCACTGTCCGTAGAGGTGACGAAGAGATGTGCTCATCGACAGTCCACAGTACCAAATCCAGCATGAGAATTCGATCAGATGACAA